CCATCTTGCGCATAGCCAAAGTATCTGGTCGCCCATTGATCCATTGATCATCGCCCTCGACCAGTCACAGAGAAGAGAAGCAGCCCCAGCAGTCGCCAAACCTCCTCCCCCGCTTGGACCATCAGCAGTTCCCGCCTTTTCGGCCTCCAGACCTTAGCTTTTTTCCCATTACCCTTCCCCTTTCCCAAGAAACCTCCCGCTGGCTGGCGCTGGGATCTCTCAGTGCTCGTCCTCGGCCCCTACAAACCCTCGAAACGACACCAAAAACGAAGTGGTCGCGTGAGAAACTAAGCGAAAAGCCTGTTCATCATAATCCGGGGAAGGCGGCACATCTTCTTCTGTTCTCTGTTCTTAGTTGTGAAAAAGGGCCCCAGCTCGTGTCTATTTTCTGTCCATCTCCTCTGCTCTACCTCTCCCCATCTTGTCGGATTCCTCCGCCTTGTTGTTCGTAGTAAGTTCAAAGGGCCCTATTCACTAGCTTCCCTCTTACACACATACACTCACTTCCTCCCTCCCTCCCTCTTCTTACCACCACAATCCACCCCATCATCCATCACCCATCACCATCAACTGTCAGCCCGCTTCACTCTCCCCCATCTTCCCCAGGCACACACAATTTCCTCCATCCTTTTCATCCTTTCCCGTCCTTCATAAATTGCCTCCATTGCCTGGTGACAAAGCTTTTGTCTGCCTTTGCTCTTGACAGTCCTCCACAATCCTCAAGACAATCACCTGACTCTTCTAGCCACTTGCTCTGGGCGCAGGCCGGTCGTTTGCTGTGAGGGTCCAAACCCCGAACTATTCGCCGACGACCACCACAAACACGACCACCAGATTTTGTCGACCACGCCACCAGATCCCTCTCCACGATATTCATCAACATTCACACGTCTCTGTTCTCTTCCGGCTTGTCCCAGTAGGTTCCACAGCTCTTCCAAGACGGAGCGTTGGTCCTAAGGCGCGGCCGCGCCCCAACTCAACCATCTCCGTATCCGTACCCCGACATGTTAATTCAGACCCTCAGCCTCTCCATGTCTCTTTCATAGCCACAAGGTGAGTTGGGCTTTTCGGTCCTCATCATTCATCATCAAATTTGGTCTGTGAAACGATCCTGCCCGGTTGGCTGGTGATTCTCTGAACTTCCATCTCATCCTCCGTAGGTGGAGACGGCTCGACACTGGAGCTATTCTTCCTCTTCACCCATCTCCCTTCCCCTTGGAACGAATCGGAATTCTGTTGTACGACGAGTTCTCCCCTACTGAGGAATCACTTTTCTGAATCCCAATATTCCTTACAACCTTGACAAGCTTGTGCTGACTCGAAACGAGAACAGTGTCAACCCACGTCTAATCTGGCGTTGCCACCTTCACCCATCATGAGCAACACACCCAACAAGTCGGGTCTGACCACTCGCGGGCCTATGCCAGCATTCGGAAATTTTGGCACGCATCAGGCATCCGCGTCGCTGCTCCTTCAAAAATCCAATCCAGGCCTGGGCAGATCAACCCCCGATTCCGAGGCGCTGGCTTCTTCAGACGACGAACCCGACCACGGAAAGACTGGTGGTGGCAGCAACGTCAAACCCAACCGGAATGTGCGAAGAACTTCCTGGCTAAACGATGTCTCATTGGCGAACGCGAATCGCAAACCATCCATCACAGGTCCTTATAGCCCTTCCACCTCCCATCCAGGAACTCCTGGAGCAGAACCCTTGCCTTGGGGAAATCCCAACCCCAACGCGACAGGACCGGGAGCATGGCCCAACTCCGCCACATCGTATCCTTGGCCTACCATTTGGAGTCAGGACGGGCGCAAAGATCCACCATCCCGCCTCCAGGAAGTCCTACCCACGAACGGTGAAGGCGGAATACCATTCTCCATTCCTCTCCAGCCGACGCCAAAGACCTACCGCTCACAATCATATTCAGTGGGCCAGCTCGACACGACTACGGCGCCATCGACTAATCCCATCTCAACCTCAATTGAAGCCACCCGCAGCAGGCTTGGAAGTCAATACCCTTTGCAGAGACGCACCTCGAGAACCAGCGGACTTGGTGTGTTGGAGCCCGGCGGGCTGGGCCGACTGCGAGAGGTAGAGGATGATGAGGAGGATCAGCGAGGCAATATCACCCCCGACGCCATCAGTGCTGAACAGGCTCGTATGATTGAGAGGCTGGAAAGGGAGAATGCTCAGCTTCGCCACGCTGCTCAAAATCGTGATCGTGGTTTCCCGACAACCGCTACGACTCCGGTCCAACCTCCTGGGTTTCGAAATACGCGCCTTCGGAGCGCTGTGCCAGAAGAGGCTGAGACTGCGATTGATGATAGAGAAGACCTCGCGGGTTTCCCTGGTCGTGATAGCAACGCCCGTCGCATGAGTGAACAAACCCTCGGCTTCGCTGAAAGACAACCACTGTCCCCCGGCGAGAATCGCACCTTTGATGGAATCAAAAAGGCACATTGGCAAACTTCCCTTGGATTTGGTCCAATCCCCGAAGCTCCCCAGAGCCGACGACATTCGTTCGCTGACGTACCAACTCGCCATGGATCCTTCAGCTCGAACGGTGAGCAGATACTGCAAATGTTGCTTTTACAGTTTCCCGGGACTAATTGGTTAGGTCGCGATGACGATGCGACGGCGTATGAAAGCGGATCCCAAGCGTTATCCCAAGGAGATGATCGTAAGTTGGCCCTGGCTTTGACCCTAGCCATGATGCACCCAGACGAGGATCAAATGAATTATACGTACTTACGTGACCGCCACTTTGCAGCTGCCTATTTTAACACGACCGAGTCCACCCGACGTGCTGCTGATGCTCGAGTCCATCAGCACCACCGCGATCCCCAACTTTACGGACAACACCTCGGTGTTGGAGCGTTTATCGAACCGGCGGCCCAACCGCTTTTCATCGTCAACTTCAAGTGTTGTCGCTCAGATGTCTTCTACATCCAAGAGGGGACCGGCCTCCACGTCAACGTCGGTGACCTGGTCATTGTGGAGGCAGATCGAGGCACCGACCTGGGCACGGTTCAACATACAAATGTGACGTGGGAAGACGCTCGCCGTTACAAAGAATATTACGCCGAGGAACATTATAAGTGGTTGATGATGTTCTCACTGCAGAGCCGGAATGGCGGGCCCAACGTCGTCAATCCCAACGGCATTCCTGGTCGGCATGGTAGTGCGGTGGGAGGCATGGGCCCTCAAGGCCATCATGGCCCTCACGACTCTGCCGGTCCCGATCTCAAGCCAAAGATGATCAAGCGACTGGCACAGAATCATGAGATTCAAGCCTTAAAGGACAAAGAGGGCAACGAAGCCAAAGCCAAGCGTGTCTGTCAGCAAAAAGTTCTGGAGCACCGACTCAACATGGAGATCCTTGACGCTGAATTCCAGATGTACGTTCTCTAAACCAGACCCTGCCGGCGCCCGTCACTAACACCAGATTAGGGACAGCAAGAAGCTCACATTCTACTATTTTGCTGACAATTACATCAACTTCAATCACTTGGTCACTGACCTCTTCAAGATTTACAAGACCCGAATCTGGATGTCCGCCATCAACCCTGCGTCTTTCCAGACCCCGACCGCTTCGCTCGGTATTCAGCCTGTTTATAGCACGGCTCCTGGTGATGAGCGCCATCGCAGACGGCAGCAACAGACCCAGCAAGCTCCCAATCTCGGTCACCAGGCCGTCACCACGCCATTTGGAGACACCTTTGACGCGGACCGAAACTTCAACAACCATCAGAACCAGGGCATGCGAAACGCCTTTTACAATCAATTCCAGGATGTTGGGGCAGGACCTCAACAGATGCAGCCGGGGGCATCGCCATACACTCCAGGCATGCAAGGTCAGATGGATCCCTTCATGTCGTTCTACGGTCAACCCTTCCCACCTCTCAACCCCAATGCGCCAAACTTCGCAAGCAGCCGCCCGGACTTTAGAGGAAGAGCACCAAACCCACCTGGCGATGTCAACTGGATGGGACGATTCCAAGGGCTCTCACTCGGTTCCTGAGTTCGGACAGGTTTACCTAATGCATACGCATCGGACAACGACACTCGTCTCTCGCGGCTTATTTCGGACGAATTTTTGCATATGATGACCGGATGACAAAACGTAGAACTGGGTGTTCAGCACAAGACGAGGTTCAAGGAATTTCACGGAAGGCAACTAGACCTGCACTTTGGGAAGGGGAGGAAACTGGCTGAAAGATTAAGACTTGCTGATGAACGGGTTTTTGTGCTGGGACACGCATAGCACTCGATTCTGTTGGATCGCGAGCAGAAAGATTTGCTTTGACATCAAAAATTGTTGGGTAGGCTGGATTGGATCAAAGACCATTCGAAAATCAGATTGTTTTATGGGATTGCGGGATACAGAAAGATGAGCTAATATCGAAACGGGGAGAGCCGAAACGCATACAGGGAGGGAGACGGTGCTTGCGAGATCAAAGTCGAGATCGGGCTGAGGACCAAATGAGCTGAGTGTCAACTACTGGAGGGTACATGTTCACATTGCAGGCTGGCTTGTGTATTATACCGACACCAGAGTGCTTTACAGACAAGGACAACATGATGGAGCTTGATAATTGAAATACCTGGAACAGTCAGATTACAAGGGGTTGTTGCTGTACGCGGCAGTTGCCTTGTTGTTTCTTTCGAGTCCAATTTCTCATGCGAAATCGGATCTGCTGTTAACTTTGCCTTCACCTCAACTCTCCATCGCTCTTGTTACTACCTCGACTTTGCAGCGTTATCGTGGCGCAGAACCTCAACGATCACCGAACATCTCCTGAATTAGGTGGCTATGTCGGGTAGTGCAGCAAATTCAGGTGTGTCCAATGCTGAAAATCCATCACAAGCACGCGGTTCCTAACACTGCACAGCTCAGTCCAAGTCTCATCAAAGTGCACGCAGAACCAGCTCCAACCTCCATCACAAAACTGTAAAGTTCGACAATGAGGTAGTACTGTCGTCAGAGGATGAGGCGTCGATGGGGGAGAACAAAGAACATGGTGACAACGGCGCAGCGAATCTGCCGTAAGTGAGTGGGAGGTCCCGCGATTGGCTTGCGCCGTGCCAAATAACCAGGGACAGGTTCAACCAAGAGAAGATGGACCAAATCTTGGGAAAGCTCAAGAAAGCCGACCCGTGGCCTCGACAATTTGGGGATGTGATTCAAGAAAAGGAGTCCTCCCTTGTCAAGAAACTGAGGGAGATCAAGGAGAAAAAGTCGGCATTCACATCACCTCTTGTGTCGAGAACCTCCGCTAACTGTCTCAGCGCCCTGTACAAGCAATCATTCGATGCAGAAATTACGCCGCTTCTTAGTTCTGCATTGGGAAGCTTCGCCAGCGGCGTGACCAAGGATTCTACATCTTTGGCTTTGCCACTTCCTGTTCAATTTCTGGGAGCCGAAGGCCAGATGTTTTGCGACGCAATGGTCGCTCTCATGAAACAATCAGGCGCCCTCATAATCGCTTACGACGAGCTTGCGGCCCGGCCATCCCATACATCCCGTCTTGAAGAGATCCGGACGTCCTTTGACAAGGACAAGGGGGTTGGCGTGGGCACCATCGAAGCCGGCAAGAAGGTCACAGGCATGGAGATTGAGAGACTTCTGGCCGATGACCTTCACGACGTGAGGGATCTGCAGGGTATTACAGCTGAGGAGGAACAAAAGGGCAGGATGCTTTTGTCACATGGGGCAGATCACAAAGAGGCTGTTTCGAAGCAGACGCCAGGATGGGGAAATATTGCCCGGGACACGGAGATGGCGATTGAGGGGCTTTGCTTCGCGGGACAAGGCCAGGCGGTCAAGCGTTGATTCTGCATCTTGTGACTACTGTGGTACGAAGGTCTACCAGCAATTACCTAGCAAGTATGTAATTATCAAAGAGCACAGTTGCTTGTATGGCATCGTACATGGAGGAAGTGATGGTACTAGGGTGAGTACCGAAGTCGACCACTGATTGGCGGATGTGAATGCCAAGATTACAGCTTTGCCAAGCCTGCGCACGAAACTTTGCCGTCGAAAATGAGAGCCGAACTAGGACCTCGTGCTCAATTCTCAATTTCCAGCCGGTCTCTTTTTTACCACAACCGTCCCTTTGCAAGGCGCAACAGTCAAGGTAATAGATTGTCCATGGTCAGCGATATCAATAGCTAACGAATACTCTCAGATGGGTGCCCTCAAATACGTCGAAGAACTTCAGAAGAAGAAGCAGTCCGATGTCCTTCGATTCCTTCTCCGAGTCCGCTGCTGGGAGGTAAGAGACTCCCCGAGATGACAATGGAACAGACAAGAGGTCTTGGGTAGGAAAAAAAAGGATACACCACCGACCTCTTTGGGCTGTTTTCCATTCTCTTGTGGCACAATCTCATTTCAGAGATGTGTCTTGCTATACACTCGTTGAACATGTGAGCTGAGAGTGCAAAATATAGCTCCGACAATTGAATGTCATCCACCGCGCCTCCCGTCCTTCTCGACCTGACAAGGCCCGTCGATTGGGATACAAGGCCAAGCAAGGCTATGTCATCTACCGCATTCGTGTGCGCCGCGGTGGTCGCAAGCGGCCAGTGCCCAAGGGTGCTACATATGGTGAGTGAAGAGCCTACCGTCCAGGTTCTGCAGAGCCAGGATCATGCAATCGTTTTCGGAGAGCAGCAAATTCTGACGCAAGGACATCAATCATGTAGGCAAACCCACCAACCAGGGTGTGAACCAACTCAAGTACCAACGATCCCTGCGCTCCACGGCCGAAGAGCGAGTCGGTCGCCGCTGCGCCAACCTCCGCGTCCTCAACTCGTACTGGATCAACCAGGACTCGACCTACAAGTACTACGAAGTCATTCTCGTGGACCCTAGCCACAAGGCCATCCGCCGTGACCCCCGGATCAACTGGATTGTGAACGCCGTTCACAAGGTGAGTGACTCTTACATATCTCTTCCCTTGATGGGGACATTCGTCCCGTTCAATGACTGTTGTCGGCTGACTTTTGGGGGAAACTAGCACCGCGAATCCCGAGGTCTCACCGCCACCGGCAAGAAATCTCGCGGTTTGGGCAAGGGACACGGGTACACCAAGACCACTTCGGGACGCAGAAAGACATGGAAGAGACACAACACGCTCTCGCTCTGGAGATACCGCTGAAGGAGGTCTGCTGGGACTTCTTGACACGATGGTTGACACGACAGGTTTGTGTTGGGGCATGGATCGCATGCGCCGCGTGTTCACGACATGGGTATTAAAGTTTCTTGAGCGGCGAAAAGGAAAAGTTGAGGAGAATATGCTGCAGATGATGACCACGGACTTTTTAGGCTCTTTGCAATGGGTCTAGTCCTAATTTACCTGATCTGAAATGGGAACCTCTGTCAAAAAGCCTTGAGCATGGCTCCGAGTGTGCATGCGAATTCGACCTTGCAGAGAAGGGATTCGCGGACGTACTTCTGGCAGGGAGAAAGCTTTTCCCAGAAATCTCGTTTGCATGCACGCACGCCATGCCACGGATGGATGGATGATTGGTTGTGAAGAATGAAGTCTCTTTTTCGAAATAACCTAGGCGAGTGAATGGGGGGGAAAAAACGGCATCGGCATTGACATTGCCTTGCAAACGAACCTACCTCGTTTCTTCCACAATCTTTTTTGATAGAGATTTCGTGACCCACATCTTCGTTTGTGCACTTGCAAAATACTTTCCCCGCAATTTTTTCATTCCCCGCAGCCTTTTGCGCTGTACTTTTTTTGGGTCGGATGGTGAGTGACTGATTGTGGCGATTCACTCGAAAGCACCAGATTCTTTCCTCGCAGGTGTGTCGTATCCAACTACCTACCTTAACTACCTATCTTCTAGCAAGCAGCCCATAGGCCGGCTGCGGTATCTCTTGATCTCTTGATCCCTTCGAGAATCTGCAGTGCTAGTCATAGTCAGTCCTAACATTTCAGACTCGGCTCGCCTGGACAGACAGGCAAACTATCTACATTTCCCAGACCTCAAACTGCAAAACTACTACCTCAGAACTCGGTCTAGTTCTCGTTCTCCCGTCTCTCGTCTCCTAAAAACCCGCCCTTGTCATTGACCTTTCTCGCCTGGTCTGTCTTTCCTACACTCTCCATCCTCTTCGCCAATATTACTGTTCAACATGCCCTCAACCACAACCACCGCCGCCGCCTCCTCGCTCACCACCCTCAACCTCACCGGCTCTTCCGGTGCCTCTGCCAAAGATGCCGAAGACCTCGACATGTACGACGAAATCGAGATCGAGGACATGACCTACGACCCAGCCCTGCAGATTTACCACTACCCGTGCCCTTGTGGCGACCGGTTCGAGATTTCTCTCGGCAGTCTGAGAGAGGGCGAGGATGTCGCGGTCTGTCCGAGCTGTAGTTTGATGGTGAGGGTTATTTTTGATCTGGAGGATTTGGTTGACGACGAAGAGGAGGGTTCGGACGAAGAGGAGGAAGGGGACGGGAAGGGGAAAGGGAAGGAGGAGGAGGAGGAAGAGAAAGAGAAAGAAGAGAAGTGAGAAATGCACGCATCTGGCGCACCCACGGCGTCGCATCATTCATTCTCGCAATCCAGTCACTACTGAGCGATACCCATCGGGACGCTGAGCCTGTGGTAGTTCTGAGGCTTGCGGATTTCTTCCTCCATCGATAATCTTCACTACCTCGACCTTGAAAGATTTTGGGAGGAAACCACCGGACCATAACCACTTACTTCCACCAGCACTTTCTGGGACGATACTGATACCTCATCCGGCCTGCACGGTGACGAGACGTGTTCATGTTCATGTCGCGCTCCCTCCACAATTCTGGAGAAAAGGGCTTCAAGTGTCGTTATATCCCACCCCGTTTGGGGACGTGAGGATTCGCTCCATTGAGCCACGAAAAAATTCCCGCCGAAATCGCCCCGTCCCCGCAAAGGCATACTGTTCTCAAGTGTCTCGCGCAGACTGGTTAGGTTTGGGTTGTGCTGCCATCTCAATCTCCAGCCAAGTCCAAGTCCAAGTACGGGGACACGGGTTCTCTGGCTTTTTTCTGATGCAGGAGACTGGACCTGGGTACAGATCGAACGAGACTGAGACTTTGGGGTATCAACACCAACGACTGTGCACCTCGCCCACACACCTTTTGCAGAGGGCGATGGGGTGTTTGAGAATACCAACGCCACGCAAAGTGGACGTAGAGAAGGAGAGGAAGAAGAATGACACAACCGGTCACTCTCAAAGGATATCGCTTGAGAAAGAACACAATGTAACCTGGACGTTGGACTTGGGCCAGTGATCAGGTCGGTTTTTGATTACAGCTGGAAATCAAACCCGACTTTCTTGTGGTATCTAGGGTCGCTGTTCAGATACCCAGTCAGTCAGACAGTCAATCAGTCGGACAGACAATTAGACAGAACCAGTCTCCGTGTCGTGCCTCAAGACGAATCACGAGCAGGGAAGACAATGGGAACGAAAAAAACAAATGAATAATGAATACGCATTGCTGCGTTGCTATCTACCTATAGAGGAGCACATGCATATGAGGCAGAACTCGTCTGAGCTCTACATATTGAGCATACACGATAAGTCAACGTCTGAAACGTATGACAAGCTGTCCTCAACTTCTGCTCTCTGAGTCGGTATCGGGAAAATGTCCAAAAAGTATACATACGCACCTGTACACGTCTTTGTGCCTAAATAAATGTCTGCTTCGACTCTTGATCACCGAGTAATGCTCGTTTATCCCACATGGGATCTACATATAGCTTGTTCCCTGACTGAGGGAAACATAGTCTGTTTGACACGTATATTCCCTGTAGGAATCTGGTTGTGAACCCTTGGTCCTTCCCTTTTCCGTCCCCTCTCCATTCTTCTTTTCCCGATGTGACCACACCTAATGTAGAACAACCGAGTTCATCTTAATCTAAACCTACGGAGACTGAATCTCCTCTCGAGCAACTAACTCTACCGTGGGGAAAGACTCATACTTCTTCATCGGCGGGCTTGATCATTCATGTAGATCGCGCTTATCCTCCTCCTCCTTCTCCTCCGTCTTCTTCAGAGACTTTAGAGTCTCATCTCAGTCTTGAAATACCTTCTCCGCGACGGGAGGGTACTCGAGCCCCCAGCCCGGAGTGGCCGAGGGTACAGCGCCCATTTTGCAGATGCGGATGCTGCGGATCGAGATATTCTCGGCCCAGATGAAGGGCGCCGCCACCGCCTGATCTGAAGGCTCTGGGGTTGTCGTTGCCCCTTCCAGACGACTCGTAGCGTCTGTAACGGCGTCTCGTCCCTGGTTGAACAGCCTCAAAAGCCCCCGTGCGTCGACATTCCCGTCGTCTCCACCTCGACTCTTTCCTTTCCATTTCCCGCCCCCGCTCCGGCCGCTCCCTCTCCCCTTACCCTTCACGTATATCAGATTCGCGACCGTGGCGTGCAGAACCAAAGGTCGCGTCTCGGTGATGAGGCCCGCGTCTCGGAAGATGTCGCGCACCATGTTTCCGAATCTCTGTAGGCGGTCTGTAGGGTCGTGAGGGTGCGCGTAGAAAACCCGGGCGGAGCGGGCTGAGGGGAACGTGCCCAGGGAGGTCAGGGAGATGGTTATCGGTGGTGGCTGAGTGTCTGAGGCTCTAGATTCATGTGGGGAGGATGCTGAAGGCGTAGAGACGCTTGGTGGAGAGATTTCTCGCGTTAGAGATTGGAGTGTTTGGAGTGGTGAAGACAGTGCTGCGCCGACTTCTTTTGCTGTCTCATGCAGGTTGCCCTTCTCTTCGGGTTCGTGGTCTGCATCTTTAGCTCTGACCGACCGACTTTCTTCCTGCGTCTGTACTATTGAGGGCGATCGGATTTCTCCAGCTGCGTCAATGGCTTCGCTTTTTGGCCGTTTCTGTTCCCTCTCCCACCCGGATTTGTCTCCTCCACCGAGCTCCGCTCGCCTGAGCAAATCCAGGTAATCAATCTGCTGAAGCACGGCCACGGCATTTTCCAGATCCTCCGCGCTGGGGAGGTGCATGACCCCGAGAGTCAAATGAAACGTCCCAGGCGGGCGATGCGCCGACTCGGGAATGATTCTCAATGCCTGATCAGCATCTCGACCCCGAGTTTCGTTCCCGGCTTGCTCTGGTGCCGTGGAATTAGGGTCAAGCTCCTGTCCCTCGCCACATCTCCCGGGAGTTTCACCACGCTCTGTAGAAGATAAAGGCGTGGTGAGCGATCTGAAGTGTGCCAGGGATCTGGAGAGCTGGGAGACTGATTCGTCGCTGACAAGCGGGAAACAGACAAAGTGCGTGGGACGGTTATTTTGCGGGAACTTTGTGCCTCGCTTCTCTAGAGATATCGTCTCCGGCATTGCCGAGCCCTGTGGCGTAGATGCTGGGTGAGTCGGTTGATCTCGCTGGTGCTCTTGTTCGGACAGAGGTTTTGGCAGTGGCGTCGTGGAAGTCATGTTGCGAGCGAACCTTGATGAAGCCGTCCAAGTGGTAGAGTCAATTCTACCAGTCTCTACTGTGATTAGACGCCGTAACGTCCGGAGAAAGAAGCTGGTGCGCATTGACTCTGTCAGGCATCAGACGATGATCCCGTTAACTGAAGCGTGTTTGCTGTGCTTGCACCATACCGCTGTGATCAGAACTGTGGCGTCGGGACGTATTGTGCAGAGTGAGAAGAGTGGCGAGGTTTCCAAGTAAAGTATTCTGAGAGGGCACTGGCAAGCAGAGAGAATCTGCTGGTTGGGCTGAGTGGTGATGAGTACTACTTGTAGGCAGACAAACGAGGGATATTGGGTGCAAAAGGCAGAACCAATCATAATGAATGTTTGGGTTTTAAGGTTAATGATTATGCTTGATTGGCCCTGAGACGGCAGCCTCGTCAGCCTCGTCAGCCTCGCCACAAGACAGAAGAGATATTTCTTGTGCTCCAAGTCAACATCTGAAAGAGGATACTCGCAGGCCACTGGAGAGGCATTATCGGTGAGATACCCGATGCTCGCCTGTTTCTCTGTATCATCATCGTCGTGTAATATGGGTGCTTGATGGAGAAGGACACCTTTGACCACCCCCTGTTTGTTGCCATCGTCATGAATGTCGGGCTCCGCCTTCTTAGAATCCTCTTGCCACAGAAGATCTCCCCTGGAAGCTCTGTTTCTAGTGCGGAACAGCGATAAGTACAACACTGGCGACGACGAGCTGCCCAAACGCGAAAGGCATGTTCCAATGCCCTCCCATACCACCCCACAGTGCGACGCAAAGCCACACGACCGCGAACACCAGCCAACACCAAGCGGCTCGGGTGCCAGTTCATGTTTCAGCCGATCCGTCTGCCATCCCACCGTGTACATTAAGCCTCCAAGCTCATTGGTACGGTCAAATGGCTGATCATCAAGGGATCTCATGACACCGTGTAGTCCACTGTAAATAACCAAAAAAAAGAAAAAAGACTTAGCAGATTCCCAAAGCGGCACCGCCCTCCAAGTAGCCGTAACAGACTTACTTGACTTCGTATATCCATTTCGGCCCGGCCATTCCTTCGAGGAGTCGCAGTCCATTCGCCTTCTGAGGGTCCCGTCCACACTTTGTTAGGATATCGAGCATTCGAAGGTTCTTCTTGCGAAGCCTGGCATCGCGAATGTGGTCTTTGACGCACTTCCAGTCCTCATAAGCACCCACTAGATCGGTACAGTAACTGCTGTGGTGGTCGTCCCCACAACAGATGTCGCCGGAGGTATCTTCATGAATAACGACGCTTGCGGCCATGGAGATAGTGCCATCTAGCTGGTCCTCGATCTTTTTCAAGTCCCAAGGTCCACAATGACTGAGAACACCTTGTCCTTCTGGAGCACTCCAGTAACTTCAAACTGTAGAGCTGTAAGTAAGACCAAGCATCATGAACACCTTTGAGCAGCAACGCACTTTGACTTCTTCAACCTTTGTAATTCCGTAGTATAGAAGCCACTTCTTCCAAGTACCCTGTTGCTTTAGACATTCTTTTCGTAGCCTCTCGAAAACTGCAGCGTCACTCTCGTCTGTCTCGTCTGCAATGTCGCTCTCCGTATGGGCCTCTTCCAATCCTGCATCACCAACATTTGGTTCTTGTGCATCATCTTCGAAGATTACACGAGTGGCAAAGGATCGGCCGTATTGAATCGGTTTGAGACAGGGTATAGCAATGACAAACGCGCCGTCTCTGTTCCTCATGCATAAAAAGCAACACAGTTTTGTTCTTCGATTTTTGAGACGAATGCTCAGAGTCGACGGTCGTGTGGCGCTGTCCGGCGATGTTACATCCATGTATTCGGGTGGTGCATCGTTCCTGGCTCGCTTTGCTAGGAGTCGAAACCAGACAATCAATCTGCTGCCGATCGAGACAACTCGAGACTGTCCCCCTGGTCGCTCCAAATCAGGCTGGTCGAGGTCCCATTGGTTTCTGCAAGCTTGAGACGACATTGGCGCAAAATTGGTGGTCAGAGACGTATCTGCTTCAAGATGCCTGTGGGCGAGGACTTCACATATGTATATGAATGAGGCTGCACCTCTGGGTGAAAATGGGAGAATTTCACAGCCCCCCCACCATGCCTTTCGCGAGCGTGTGAGGCTCACTGCTGCTCGGAATGCACTAGGAACACTGTCCGCGAATGAGATTCTGTAGACGCTCAGCCTCTCGTGCATACAATGCAATGACCCGGCCTTGACCAGGGACCGCAGCAATGCCGCATCGCTGGGCTGAACTGGTCTTGCATTGTGTTTGCCTCGCCCAAGTAGTGCCACCCAAGTGCGAGTTGAACTTGAGGTTAGTGAGCATGCCGTTAGTGATGGATAGCATTAGCACTGCTAGGAACAGTTAGACTCGTACTCTAGTCTACTAGTTCGAGTCAGGTGCGCGAGTGTATGAACGTTCATTGGTTCAAGTCAGGAATATAAGAGCTAGCTAAGGAGCATGAGACATTCCAAAATAAAACCGGCAGTCGAGGAGCAAGCTGATTCAGGCGACAAAATACGTTAAAGACGAGTATATGATAGAACGGCGTTTGTATACGGGCAAAAACCTAGAGGGTGTATACTGAAGGGCGTTTACTGGAGTACGGAACTTCCGCCTCTGTACCCCGTCCTGTGGATGGATGGCTCGTGAAGACAGCCCACCGTCGGGCGGGCTGATAGACCTGGCTGTCGCACACCTCGTCCTATCCATAGCTGTACTATAGTTATAACAACAAAGATGGATGGCCTACTTGTCGCGGTAGATAGAATGACCGGATCGTTACCTGTATCTGGGCCAGTGTCGAAGGTCCCCAGCACCTCATTCGGCATTCAGAAAGTGGAGAGCAACATGTACATCTACACAGGCAAAACACTCCGTGTGTAGTATACAAATGCAGGGAAAATCTGGGTGGCGGCAACAATGCTGAATTACTACGCCGCCTTCGTTCCATTGCCGCCATCTCATATTCTCTTGATTCTCTGAGCATCTATTCGGGGTATCTATCTGTTGAAGAAGCTGATGAAGCTTCTGCGCGTGTCCGTTGAAGGACGTCTCTTTCTCTCTCTCCGTCTGATCTCAATTCCGAGATTTCCTTCCCCTAGTTTTCTCGCACCAGCACTCTCAAAACAAAGGAGTCGAAAATGCCCCAATATTTCAAAGGGGTCTGATCTCGTCCCAAACTTTTTCTTGCCTCATCAATCTCATCCCAGGGTCGTTGAGTTTCGTGCGTAAGATCCGTTTGGACAAGGACGATAATAGGACCATGCCGTTGGATTCTCCATTTCTATGCGTTGAGCATTAGAAAACCTTCTCTCCCGAAAAAAATGTAATCAAACCCCTCGGACGCCGTTACACATGCAACCGTTCAAAAACCATTGGGGAAACCCTCGACAGACATCAAACCGTCTAGTAGCGGTAGATATCAGACTTGAAGGGACCTTCAACGGGCAATCCCAAGTATTCTGCCTGGACAGAAGTCAACTTGGTCAACTTGGCGTTGACATGGTCCAAGTGGAGTAGTGCGACCTGCTCGTCCAAGATCTTGGGAAGAACGTAGACGCCAACCTCTTTCTTGCCGGTCTTTCCGAACTCGACGTATTTCTTGCCAAATGCCTCGTCTTCAGCCTTGTACAGCATGATCTGAGCCAGAACTTGGTTGGAGAAGGAGCACGACATGACAAAGGAAGAGTGTCCGGTGGCACAGCCCAGGTTGACGAGACGGCCCTCGGCGAGCAGGATGATGTTACGCCCACTAGCCATCGTGTAGCGATCGACCTGAGGCTTGATGTTTTGGACCGACTTGGCGTTCTTCTTCAGCCAGGCGACATCGATTTCGATGTCGAAGTGGCCAATGTTGCAGACAATGGCATCGTTGCGCATCGCCTCGAAATGTTTTCCGACGATGATGTCACGGCAGCCGGTGGTGGTAACAAAGATCTGACCCTGCGAAGCAACCTCGTCCATGGTGACAACCTGGTAACCAGAGACAGCAGCCTGGAGAGCGTTGATGGGATCCACCTCGGTGACGAGAACACGGGCACCCATGCTGTGGAGAGCCTGAGCGCAACCTTTGCCAACATCACCGTAGCCAGCCACAACGGCAATCTTGCCTGCGATCATAACATCTGTGGCACGTTTGATGCCGTCAACGAGGGATTCTCTGCACCCGTAAAGGTTGTCGAACTTTGATTTCGTGACGCTGTCGTTGACATTGATGGCAGGTACCAAGAGTTTCTTGCCCTTCAGCATGCGGTAGAGGTGGTGAACTCCAGTTGTGGTCTCTTCTGACACACCGTAGCAGTCTTTCAACATCTCGGGGTATTTGTTGTGGACAAGGGCGGTCAGATCACCTCCATCGTCGAGGATGAGATTTAGTGTCTTTCCAGAAGGAAAGGCCTTGAGTTGTTGCTCCAGACACCATTCATATTCTTCTTCAGTCTCGCCCTTCCACGCGAAGACAGGAGTGCCTCCAGCTGCAATAGCTGCGGCAGCATGATCTTGGGTGGAGAAGATGTTGCAGGAGGACCAGGTGACCTCAGCCCCAAGAGCTTTGAGGGTTTCGATGAGGACGGCGGTTTGGATGGTCATGTGGAGGCAGCCAGCAATTCGGGCACCAGCAAGAGGTTGGTCGGCGGCATACTTCTTTCTGATTGCCATCAGACCTGGCATCTCAATCTCTGCGAGATCGATCTCACGACGACCAAAGGCCGCCAACGAGATGTCGGCGACCTTGAATTTCTGGGCAGGAGCACCACTCATGATGTCGGATTGATGAGGGGGATTTGAGAGGAAGTAGAGTTAGGCACTTGTGAGTTGGTGGTTTGGTGGTGAGAGAAAGATGAGGTGGGTGAGGGCGATTGAATTTGTCGGTGACATTTTTTCCACCTTCGCCCGCCCTGCAAAATCTAAACTGCGTCTCCAACGCCAACAACCAGCAACAGATTCCACTTCCTCCTGGCGCCACTGGCACCCACCAATCACCCCTCATCCTCTGCATCGTGGGGTAGACTACATTCAACTGCCGCACCTTGCTAAAGAGATAGGCACCTACTCCTTAGGGTCCTCAGCTCCTGATTTGGGTGGGATGGCGTGGATGATTAGCGACCTGTGGCGACCCCTGCCAACGGCTACAAACTCCAGCCTAAGATAGGCATGATCACGGCATCACCACCCCATACTCGGTCTTGCTCGGTATATAATGGATAAACTCCCCCTTCGATATCGACGGACGCTATCAGTCTTCTCTTTATCTGTCTCGTGGACTATCACCAACAAGCCAAATCGCAGGCTACCTGGCCACCATTCCGCTATCAGCAAAGCTCTGATCAAACTCGACGACCCCGTGATTTTTTGCCTCGATTAGGAAACAAAATGACAGTTTCCTCTGGCAGTCCAGTCGTGCCTGTTGTCGGCACAGTGTTTTGGCGCCTCCATGCGTGCTGTTTGTCATTCCATGCTTTTCCAGATACGTGGGCAAACAAAGATGCTGTCCAAGGACTCTGAGACTTGCGGCAGGACACGGCAATGCGCTGTACACGTGGAAGTCAGCCAGAACCGCCGCTGGAGTCCTGCGGCAGAGTGCATCCTCCTGCAGATGGCCTCTACTAAGTCAATGGCCTTTTCCTGGCCCCTCTGACCGCCATATACTCATCCGTTGTGTTCCTGCTCTGTTTCTTTTGACTCTACACTCACTACACGGTGGTGGTTCCTTCCTCTGCCATAAGCCTCAATTGCGTGATCAGTTCCGCATTGCACACAATTCCAACCCCAGGACAACGTTCGGGCATTCCACTCATTTTTTCTAGAAAAACCCTTTCCTACGTTGATTCATCTTACACGGCAGCAATTATCACGATATTCTTGTTCTCGTCAACGACATTCGCACGTTGGCGAAGGGAGTTTTGATCCATCACCAAATGGCAGCCACCCAGCCCGGACCAAAAACAGGGGGAAACGAGGACATCAATCTAGGCGCGCACGACGCCCATGTTTTGACTAAGAGTCAAGGACACCCTGCTCAAGTCACTGTTGAACAGCACAGTCCAGCAGAGGCCCATCTCAACCCAGAATCCACACGCTGGCTAACAGTGTCGCCATACCTTGAGCAAGAACATCTTCTGGATTTGGACAGTGTCGACACTCCAAATCGCCTTCTTGCTCTTGCAGCGACACAACTAGAGCCAGCGTCAGGGAAATATGCCACGGTCTCCTACGAAGACGCTTTGGATTGGACCAGTCTCATGGAAACACTAAAGTCACTGGCTGCCAAGGAGGGGTACAGGTGGACGCGTCAAGAGTTCTACGTGGTTGAATTCCGGTCGAGACTCAAGAAAAATATTGACGTGGATCTCTTGTTCAAACTGGACAAAGAATCCCACATCGAAGCTACACAAAGTGGAGGGCTTCTCAAGTATTGGTACGGGGTTCCTGACAATGATAGGAGAAATCTGGCCACCTGTGAGTCGACACGACGATTCCTAAATTAGACGCGGCTAATCGGTCTCTAGGTTTTTGGCGCAATAAGGATGATGCAGTCAATGGTGGCCGAGGGCCATGGCACAAACAAGCTCGAGCTGCCATTTCCAGCATGTATGAAGAAATCGATGTCAAGGGACTGCGCTTCACGATTGAAGACGATGTGGCAAGCTGGGAGTTTGCACCGTATGTTTGAAGCTGCGAGTGCCTTGCAATCGCTCCATAGCTGCAAAATTGAGATGGACTCATCACGAAATGATCGTGCTCGGTGTTTCGAGCGTTGGCGTGGTAGCGTTGAGGCGTTCGGGGGTTGGATTCAGGCCATCACCTATGGGAAATAGACTGCTTGAATGAAAACATCTCTTTTCTGGGGGTAAATGCATTCATAAGATGAATGTTGAAGAGGCAGTGGTTGAATGATATTGATATTGAGGATAATCTTGCCCAGTCCCTCGTTTCCCCATTAGGACTAGTGCCATACAGCGATTGACGA